TAAATAAATATTTAAGCCCTTTGTAGCCATATAAATATTTTATTATCACATTTTTATACATTTACATTTTATAAGATTAATAATTATGTATGTACACTTATCTTCCCTTCACATAATTTTCTACAAACTTAATTATAAATTTAACTGGAAATTTGAAGAAACGCACGCGCTTTTTTCTACAAGTTTTATAAAATGATGTAGGAACTATTATTATTGTCACGAAATAAATAAATTCAAATAATTAATGCTTGTCTTTGTTAACAGTTGATTCACAGTTGATTCCGTTAGTCCCACGCGACGTTCAAAATCGAGTTCAAAATTGAAGTGGTGGTTGGGAATCGAAACCGTTCATTGAATAATGCAGAATTCACGAGTTTGATCAACAAAAAATCTATCGATTGATGTTTTGGGCGCGAAATGTTGTTGGAAACTGAAGAGTGAAATGCATGTCGCACGTGGGGACCTTTTTAGCAAACAGACAAATTTAGAAAACAGACATTTAGCAAACGGACAGCCTCATAACGACGCCAAAGCTCCTTTTTCGTGCGTGCACTAGTTCTCTTCAACTTTCTAAGAGAAAATTGTTGTGCGCAATGCTTTGAAGAAGCAGACGGATCTATTTAYGATCTACTTGCATCATTTGCTTCAATAATACAAACTGAAACAAGAAAAAAATCGACTAAAACTAACCTGAGCTAATTATGAGCTCAAACGTAATCACTGCACAAGCTAATAAGACTCTTGCCTTATGGCGTCACTAACCAAGACTACTAAAATCCCTTGTACACTTTCTTTCAATTTATTTAACACCAATTGTCTTACTATGTTCATGTGGAAATACTTGATTAAGAAAGGAAAGTCGCCAAGGATTTTTTTCGTGGTAGTAAAATTACGCCATCATGCAAACGTCGTATTCGATATTGAGGTCTCGAACATGTTGGAGCGTTAACGAAGTCGAACCAGTTCTACGCCTTACTTTCCTTCTTATATGCGCCTTCTAGTTTTTCACTCGACGGTCTCAAAGGTTCATAAACTGGACTACCAGGTGATTTTAACTCTTGGTAGGGGCGTTCTTCGGAGGGGCTCTTTTTAAAGGGACTTTTAGGAACATTCACTGGCTTTTTATACTTTGACAAGCCCGATGATCCTATGGTTACTATGTTATCTGAACTCTTATATGCTAACGGCTCTGTTTGATTTGCGCCTTCTTCTGAAGTAAAGTCAATATAGGCAGGAGATGTAGGGCCATCGTTCACAGGTGCCGAGGCAGCCCCTTTTAAAGAGAGACTCTTTGGTTCCTCTTGTTCCTGAGAAGCGCGCCCAACGTAATCCGGATTATTTCTAGCGTCGGGTGTTGGCAAACCGTTTAATCTAAGGTCCATGTTCGATAGATGATTAGAAAAGCGCACTGTGTTCTCTGGAAGTGCGTAATCGTAAACAGGAGGTAAACCTCGTATTGGGCTCCCTATCTCGTTGTACAAGGGGTCGGGATGGTTATTGGTTGTAGACTCTGATGGCAACATGTATCCTGAAGCATCTGAGGAGAAAAACAGACAAAACCTTTTTGTTTTGTTCTTATAAAGTCTTTGCACTATCACGTGATGGCAGGCATGACAAGAGGCAGGAACAATTGAATCTGGTCTAATCTGATTTACCCGAGAAAAAAATTCATTTTCCCGTGGTAGAGAGACTATTGTTGTGCTAAAAGACAAGCACATAAAGACAAGCACAAGAGGAAGAGATCAATGAAGAGGCTTTATTTTTTAGATTACCTTCTTTAGCATTCCACTTTAATGGCTGATACGTCCCACGTGGAGTTCCAGATATAGGAGGCTTTAATTCCTGGTAGGGGTGGTGTGGTGATGCATATGTCACCTCTGGTTGACTTTCTGTGGAGCTGAGAGTGACCCCTGAGCTTTGTGTTGAAGCTATAATAAAACGAAGTAGTTAATACAATCATGTCCTGGTCAGGAATTTCTAAAATTTTTATTTAAGCTTTGATTGAAAAATTCCTTAATTTTGATTGGATGATGGTTTTCTCTGAGGGGAGAAATATATATCAATAAAATGGATAACAGCATGGATGTACTGGGAAACATTTTATATTCATTAAGATATCAATAAAATTATAAGCATTAACTATTTTATTTTCAGATAAATCATCCTACCATTGTCAGTTCTTTTCTTCTGAGAAGACCTGAGAAAAAAGGCAAAAGTATTTAAGAAATAGAGCATCTTTTTTCCATTTAGTACAGCAAGCAAGAAGTGATAAAAACATGAAGTGTAAGAGTAGCACAAGCTGTAGGTGAGTTCTTCTAACACTTCTTAGCGCTATGCTTTGTTAACTATTAATACATCAATGCTTTTGAGCAATCAAAACTTGCAGTTTGGTGACCATGAAGAAGTGTATACAGTAAGTAGTAGCACAAGTTGTAGGTGAGTGCTTCTCACACTTCTTGAGTCGGCACTCTGCTTTTTTAACTAAGACATTAATGCTCTTGACCAATCACAGCATGTGTAGTTTGGTGATCAGGGGCATAGCGAGGTCTCAGTCATACATGTAGGTGGAGCAATGTAGCATTCTCCCGCCAATACACAAGCCTACACATTTTATTCTTTAGAGTTTCCCATCATCATAACCACAGGTTTAGTGAAACCTCTCACTATGTCACTGTATGTTGCTGACTATATTATATYATTTTACTATTATCATTATGACTTTGGAGCGCAGGAGGAAGATGGGGAAAGAGATATGAAGGGATCAAGAGGAATAATTATATCGATACTGTAAGTACTCAGCATAAAAGACTTACTTTTTCCTCCTGCAGAAGCATACTGCCATAATGATGAGGCACAATAACAGAACTAAAAGTACACCAATAACAGTACCAATAATAGACCAAGGTATCTTTATGCTGGATGATTTTTTAAAATTCTTGTTAGATACTGATGGTTCACTAACAATTACCTGTTGTTTGGTACCATGTATGGAGGCACAAAAGAAAGAATTAATATGTTTACGATTTCCAGGTACGTCTAGGTAATTCCAGGTAATATATATTACTCAGTATTAATGTTAAAGACTACATCTGGGGAAGAACCTTACTCTCTGCTCCCTGATATAAAAATGTTTGGCATTGGTTATATAATTTCTCAACAGCTAAAAACATTGAAATGTTTTTAAATATCTCATTTGCAAATTTATAGACATTGAGCTTCTGAGCCTCCCCTCTGTAACCCCCTCTGCCCCAAAGCAACACACATACACACATACAATATTGTTATAAACTGTCCCTATTACTATGGCCAAGTGTGGCAGGAATACATATTTTTAATCCCACACTAAGCTTTTTAGGATTTGTACTAGACACTCTAACCTTTGTTAAACTTTGGGGAAATTAGCACACACCTCTCCCCCCTCAAATGTCTTAGGCAGTTCTTTAGCCCTCACTCCCAATAAAAGCTCTGTATTCAAGATCCAAGTGTAGAGTACTAGTGTACTCACATGTTTCCTTGTCGGTCTGGTGCTGGCTGAAGACATGGATGCTGAAGATATGGATGGTGAAGACATGGATGGTGAAGAACTTGAAGATGGGTTTTCAGGTCTAGGATCTACTATACCTATAAAGATAATTTAAAAATCCATTATATTAACTTACACACTTTCGCCAGTATTTAAAAGTCATCTATAGAGAGCATTTGTTATTTAGAAAGGGGAGGGCTAGCTGAGGCATAGCTGTGAAAATCAGGACTTTTAGAATAAGCTGGTGGCTACTGTAGCTTATGATAGTTGCTTTGAAGTCTGAAGTTTGAACTGCAAGCTACTTTTTCTTTCCTATAATAAAAGCTATCATAAATCTATCAGATCACAGCGAGCTTATTGAGACTATGAACACCTACTCCAAAACATTCTGAAAGTACAGTATATATGTGCCCAATTCATCAGCTCCTGCCTAGCTTTGAAATGTTAAAATAGCCCTCCAATACAGTACTTATAAACGGATAAAATAATAATAATATAAACTGATAATAGATGACTCGCACTAACACATCATGTGACACTACCTCCCTTAAAATGAGCATTAAATGGCATTAAATATGAAATTGAATATTTTCCATCCAGTATATTTCCCCATACAAATCCTTGTAAAATATTTGATTTTATATTTAATGCCATTTCTTTTTCTTTTAATCGTTATGAGCTACGACTCTGCCACCCTACTAATATTGAAGTGCCCTTTTCATTTCTAATTTTATTTTGATACAGCAACTCATTTTAAGGGATCGAGGTGGGTCACATAACCTGTTCATGCAAGTCGTCTATTACCAGAAAAATGTCTGATGGTACCCCCCTTAATTCCTCTGGTCCTACCCCTTCTAAAGACGAATGCTCCCTTAGAATCTAAGTCCTAATACTCCCATTTCTAGTTAATTGCCTTCACTCAGTCTAATCGATCCTTGATATGTTCTTTTCTTTTATTAAGGACCATTGTATAATGTACATACTTCGGAACAATACGTCCGTGTACCAGTTGATTAARATGCCACAGATTTTGTTTGAATAGCTGAACACACAACCAAGACTAAGGTTGAGCAAAGAGAACTCCAAACTGGAGTATTGCTTTATTTGTTATAACCTTTCCATTCTCTAGATTTGATTTGAAATTTATGACCACTACGAATAAATTAGAAAAATAATTATATAAAAATGACTTTGGAACTCACATTGGTAAAGGGTGTCGCCTTGAGTTTTTAACATGACACAATCCTGTTTCCCCCCACAAGTAATTACAATTCTAATAACCTTGCCAAAAAGTTCAGGAGGTACTTCAGTATTCCACTAAAAAACAACAAAAAATAGCACTGTTATTTGAATAGAATGATAAAGCTAGTGGGGGGGGGGGGGGGGGGACATCATCCAATGACCACACCCCACAAAACACACAGCTTTTCTAAGGTACCATGGACTTCTCATACAGTAGCCTTGTTAAATGGAACAATAGAGTATTATTTTTCTGTGTAGCCTTGCATTTAAGAGTGGATTAACAATTAATGATGTGTTGATGAGTGGTCAAGGTCCATTGATTAAGTATTTCATTATTTATACATATATATTAAGTATTTGAGTATTTATATAGAAAATGCACAATATAAGTATTAAATATTATTATTATTATCATTAAACCAAATATCATTCCACTGCTATGTTCTGCTTGAGACAACATTTGCGACAGGAAAATCAGGCAATATAACGCTGTCAATCAAAAGAAATTGTTCACTACCCTACATACTTTGATTGACAGCAGTGTATATTGCCTGATTTTCTTGTTGCAGCTGCGTTTGTCTCAATCAGCACACAGCAATGAAAACCATTTAAAGATTTATACAAGTGAGAAATGGAATGGTCATGTAGACTGAAGTGGGAAGTGGATTAATAATCAATTACCTTTACATGTGCTAATTTAAGTCTCTTCCTTACAATCTTCGTCTCAACCAGGAATGGGAATGTGTAATTATTGTGAGGGAGTTGACTCCATCCTGATTCACTCAAGTAAAAGGAATTTTCTCCTTTTACTACCATTTTACATTTTCTGAATTTATTTGGAATGTTAAGCCTTAATCCTCTGAAATTAATTGTCGTAGGAAATATTGGAATCTCTGATAACTGTCGTCTGAAACTCAGATTGCATTCTGAAAAAACAAAAGCAAAAAATGTCCATTCTTTTGTAAATAATTAAGGCCTCTAAAATGTTTCGTAGATAGGCATGGGTGGCATACTGTAGTGGTTTACCGCTTGCCTCTCTCCGCTGTGGTCCAGGTTCTAGCTCTTTCTCAGGCTCAGGCTGGATCATT